TGTCACACAAGCAACTACTGAAAACTACCTTAGAGAATGGTGTCACTCTCGCCTATCGCCTTTCTCATCCAATCGACAAGTCACTACCAACCATCGTCATGTTTCACGCTTTCCTAATGGATTCACGTCTCTACGATCGTCAATTTAACGACGCTCGTTACTTGATCTACAATCTGATAGCGATCGACGAACATGGTCACGGAGGAACAACTGGTTCTAGGAGAGATTTCACTTTCAGAGATACTGCATCGGATTCACTACAACTCCTTACCATACTTGGCATCGACCGCTTCTATGTACTCGGAACTTCACAAGGAGGTCACATAGCCTTCCACATGGCCTTACTCGAACCTCAACGAATCAAAGGCCTAATATTGCTCGGTGCTACGGCCTACGCAGCGACAGAACAAAGAAAAGTCGCACAGTCGAAGCTTCGTGACAAATGGTGCGAGACGAAGATTCCTTCGGAGGAACTACTTCTCGTCAAAGCAGCATCCTTCGGTGGTCCTACGCGTGTAGGGGAGAGAGTTTACGAAAAAGTCAAGCAAATGTGGATCGAACGGTACGCAGGACCTGATGGCTATGATCCAGCGCTCAACTGTCTCCGTAACCGTGATGATCTTGATGATAGACTTGGTGATATCAACGTACCGGCATTAGTCTTGCATGGATCGGACGATCAATACTATCCGACGAAAGATGCGAAAACTTGGAGTTCAAAACTACCTAATCTATGGAAATTCGAGATCGTGGAGCAAGGGTTGCATTATCTTTCATTCACGGAGCCTGGAGCTGAAGTCTGTGCTAAGCTGATTCCAGAGTTTATTAAACAAACACTTTAGAAGTGTGTAACTTGCAGGACGTATTATCCAGTTGAAGTGTCTGCGACGAGACCTTTGATTTTAGATAGCCTTTTTCTTCTTGCATTCTCAGATCTCACGCTCTAACTTGGAGATCTTCATTCTGTAAAGAAATGCAAGCTGCAACAAAATAAATGCACCGAAAGACTCTCTCAGTTGTTTTCTTTCCACAAGGGTACTTCCGCAGACGTCCACACATGAACTAAAAGCCGGGAGGGTTTGACTATATGCAATCGATAGTCCTACTAAAGATATGTAAAGACCCCTGTGGCCCTGTAGAAAAATTATTCCGAACACGGTTTTTCCTCGACCACAAGTTCTGAATTGAAGCCTTTTTAAGGGTGTTAGAATAGCCAAATCTGACCTTATCTAATACTATCAAGCGTTCTCATACTGCTAGCTGGAAAGAGCATACAAAGTTGCATATTTCTATCCAGCAAATGGGATTTTCTCCTTTGGCATTTGGAAAGAATTTTTGACTAGAGGACCTTATCTGCATTAACAGATATCACTCGTCTTATGGCGTGTTGGACCAGCTAAAAATCTAACAAAATATAACTTTTTTATATTCAAACGAAAGCGGCTTCCAAGTTTGTTCGTATGATGCAACAACGAAGTCTCTAGCACTTTTTACTTCTTCATGGTAAGTATAGTCGTAAGACCTACTTTGGCTCTTCCAGGCCTCCTCCCGC